GCACTGCTGCAAAGCTTTGCAAAGTCTCTATTGCACTATTCGTCGACTATTCGTACTGTTCGTCGCCTATTCGCGGACTATTCGTACTATTCGTCGACTATTCGCGGACTATTCGTACTATTCGTCGACTATTCGCGGACTATTCGTACTATTCGTCGACTATTCGCACTATTCGCTTCACTATTCTAGTTTTATCAATTGCCCTGAATATATAACACTGTTCTGGTTTAGTATGCTCGTAAATGAACAGGGACGCCGGAACTGGGGGGCAGGGGGGGGCGGCTGCCCCCCTTGCCTTTTGCTAGGGGGGGCAGGGAGGGCAGAAGTGCCCTTTTAGTTGTAAAATAATACGTGATAAATCACATTTCCAACGATGCTTTTTGTAGGAAAATCACGAGATTCAGGTAATTTATAGTTTATATTTATAAAAAATTTGGGAAATTTTTGGAATTTAGAAAAAATATTTGAAGAAATGGGGAAAATTTAAGATATCCGGAAAAATTTTTGGCTTCACGGAAAATTTTTGTATGTCCGGAAAAAAATTTTGACCCCTAAAATGGTACACTGACCGAAATTTTTTTGGCGACGGGGGGGGTCGCCAAAAAATTTTGCAGTGAAAAAAAAATTTTCAGTAAAGGTGCCCTTGGTGTGCGTCCGCCCCCCTTTGCCCTATTATCGTTCCGGCGTCCCTGTAAATGAATATAAACCAGAGTTTCAATTCAGAAAAAGTTGAAAAGATGCGAAATTTGGGCAATGTTTACATATGTGGGTCCCCCTTTTTTATGAGCAGACCCGATGCGCAGAATGGACTTGACAGCTTCTTTCAGAAATCCCACATGCATTGCCCACGATTATTATGACTTACATAAATACTGAACCAAAGACAGTAAAGATGGAGGTGCTGTAACCCGAAGTTCAGGCCCTAATCACAGAAAATTAGGGCCTGAACTTCAGGTTAGAGGTGCTGGGGATGGAATACCTTGTAAAGTAGTGGCACACTTGTCCCTCTGCCTTTTGCTTTTCACCTCTGGCGGTGTGCGCAATACGACCGCAAAGCAGTATGGGAGCACAGTTTACAAATTTTACGAAGGAATGTTAATTCACCTTCAGTTATGGGTAAGTTTAGCATTTATTTTATTCTTATTTCCTCTCATTTTGATTACGTTTTGTATTATTATATCGAAAAGGAGTGTTTGGTGTTAATGTGTGCCTAAAATCATTCACGAAAACTTGATTGTATCGAAAGATATAGCCGATTGAACTGAACCCATATTTGGCATGTTTCGACGTGGTGTTTGAGTAGCGTTTTTATATTGCCAGAATATCCTTACACGATTAGAAATCAATAGCATTTCCTTTGTATACTTGTTTTTTAAAGCATAAACT